AAATCTTAAAAAAAAAAAAACAACAAAAGCACCTGCAAAAGGGAGTGTCACCAGAGGAAGAATATTTAGAAGAGACTCTTACAGTCTCCGGCCTGACTTGATTCACTCTGGTGATGACTAATTGGCTGGTCATAGCACCCCGTTTTTGTTCAACCACTTGTCTGGATTGTAAGGTACTTTTTCAGCTGAGACTAACCTTGAAATTGAGGGATGATTGAGCTAAGCAGATTACCCTTCCTAAGGCGGGCCTCACCCTATCAGTTAAAGGTCGAGAGAAAAGACTGAGTTCTGTCTTTACCAAGTCACCCTGCTTCTCTCCTGCCGCACGCCCTGCAGATTTTGGACTTTGCAGCTCTCACAATCACGGGCACAGACTGATTCCTTAAAATAAATCTTTCTATATAAATACACATTCTATTGCTTCTATTTCTCTGGGGAATCTGACTAATCGCCTCTATTGCTTGTTGAACGTTGTGGATTGAAATATGCTACTTTGGATGGGCATTATTTTTTTTTGTTATATTCTTTTTTTAAAACAAAAAAGTATATTTACACAACATTGTACACATTTTTTCCCCAACCCAAATGGAAACCCCCCCGGGTTCCCAACAACAAAGCAACCATGTGCCATCACCATAATCCCGTGCATTTCCCTCCCCCCTACCCTGTTGTATGGGCATTATTTTTAATTTGGAAAACTTTTTAGTATTAAACCCAAAGCTTGCCACTTGTCTAATTTCATGGTTAACAGTTCGGTGAATGTGTGAGATAAACACCCTTCCTTGGTGTAGGTAGGGAGACAACTAGAGAAAGGCTGGGTTTGGGTGCTTGTGGGAATGGGGCTGTGGTGGGACCACATCCTTGTTTCTGCAAGAGATATCGAAACCACTAGTAGGTGGTGATGACCTGGAAAGTTCTCCTTGGAAATCTGAAATGTTTGGATCTAACCATAGCCAATGAAAACTTTAGGTAGCAGAAACATGAAGTAATGGGCCAGGAACTTAGTCTCCTTTTATGGTCCGGCTCTCTTAGTTCTACTTCCTGCATGGGCCAGTGATATCACTATGTTAATTTTCCTTTAAAACGGTCAGTTCATGGGGCCTCTCTTGTGGTGCAAAGGATTAAGTATCAGCCCTATGAAGCTATCACCAGTCACTGAATTTGATCCTGGCCAGGGAGTGACCCACATGACCCAGCAGACCTCTCCTGTCTCGCCCGCTGCTGCTCTCAGCAGCGGATTTTGTTGATCTGCCTGTTCTGCTCCCCACTCTGTCTCTGATGAATCCTCGCAGCGCCCCCGCCCCCACCTCTAGTATTTTATGCATAAATACTTTTTAACAAAACCTTAAAATGGTTTATTCGTATTTCCTAGATACTGTAACAACAAGGAAGGAATTTTGTTCTAAAGAGAAAAATTGACTTACCCAGCTACTCTGGCTGAGCTTTTCAAGGACATAGGCTGTCAGGCTTTTCAAGATAAGGCTGGCAGGCCTTGGCCTCAAGGGCAGGCCTCTGGAGAAAGGGAAATTACACTAAACATCCTCGCAACCATTGTCATTTTAGAAGTATCATTTATAAGTGTGATTCTCACCTGGGCACCAAACACTGAATGTCTTCACACCCCTGGGAAACCACTATGGGCTGTTCAGTTTTTGGGCAGCTGTGTCAGTGACCCCTCTCTAGGTTCAATCACTTACTGTTTGGCCCTCCCCCGCCCCTCCTTTGTCTTTTAAAGCCCCAGCATAGGAGTTAGCAGCTAGAACAAGGCTGGGTAGCACCGATCCTGGAGACAGCTGGAGGCTGGACCCACACGGAGCAGGGACATACGCTGGGCGTATGTCCAGCTGCCCCTCCCAACCTTTGGTTTAATGCCACCAGCTCGCTTATTTCCTTGTTCTTAAGGCTGTGGCGATGGGACACGGTGCGTCTCAGTCTTAACCTTGTAGTCTGGGTAGCACTGGAGGAAGGGAGGAGAAATGGGGTGCAAGCTGACATGCATTTACTGTATACATGTAAGGACACACCTTGCCCGGCACCTTCTATTTGTACTTGCTGCCCAGGAGCGTGCTAAGAACACTGCCAGGTGGTATGGCCTTGGGCAAGTCACTTCTCCACACACCTTGTTTTCCTTCTGTAGCAAAATAGTACCCATGCCATAGAATGGCGAGAATACACGAACTAGTGCTCATAATGAATTTAGAACAGGCCTGCTCTGGAGTGACATACCTGTTTGCAGTGATTAACGTTCCAAGTTCATTTTAACACAGTCCTGCTTATGCTTTGACCATTGAGGAAACTGAGGCGCATGGAGATTAAGTTAATTACCGGAGATGGATGAGCCTAAAACCAAATTCAGATTTATCCGAGGGCATGTTTTCCTCTCACAACATGACGGGACCTGCTCAGTGCTATCGGATTGCCTCTCCTCTTGCCGGCTTAGGGTTCAGTTTATTAGCTCTGCTTTGTACTGACAAGGGTGAAATCCTATATGACGGAAGGCTCTGTCTTTAATCCCCATTCCACCCATCCCTGGCCAAAGGGCAAACGGTATTTGGGGGTTTGGTGGGAGGTGAAACTTCCGCCCTGTAGTCCAGGCTGCCATTCTAATTGGCTCCTTGATTTGCTTGTGGTCTGCTGGAATAAAGGAACAAGACTGTGATAGCCTGTGGACTTGGGGGAGCAGGTGGTATCACACTGCAGTGATGTGCAGCAGAAATAGAACATGAGCCCCATGTGATTAAACACTTCAGCAGTTGTATTTGTTTTAAAGATTTTATTTTTGTATTATTGCAAAGGAGAATTGGGGTGTAAGCCCAATTGGGGGTGAGAGGACTCACCGGAGACAGATTGGGGAGCAGAACAGGTGGATGTACTGAAATCCATTGCTGAGGGGAGCAGCGAGGAGACAGAGGAGGTCTGCTGCATCCTGCGGGTCAGCTCCCTGGCCGAGGGATGGAACTCAGAGGCCTGCAACCCTGATAGAGCTGAGAGAACCCCTAGGCATCAGGGAGGCCCTAGTAGTTATATTTAAGAGACAAAGGTGAATTTTCAAATAATATTTAAGTAATTGACCCCCACTAGTATCATTTCACTCTGGAACCAGTCTAGAGATAATTGAGATGTCCGACATATTCTTTCCCTAGTGTATTAAATCCGTTGTATTTTGCACATGTGGCTCTAGAACTACATACCGCGTAGTGCAGCAGCTACTATCATGGAAGGATCTCTATTTATTAAGAGACTATATGGTTGAAACTGTCGCCTGCATTCCAGAACTCCCCTCACAGGTAGATACTCTAAAAAAAAAAAAAAAAAAATTCCAGATCTCCCGTCACAGGTAGATGCTCTAAAAAAAAAAAAAAAAAAAAAAAAAGGCTGAAGGAGTACAGAAGTAGACTCTCCAGCCTGCCTGTCCCCATCATCCCCATTATTGGCTTCTGCAAGTCGTGAAGAGCCTTGTGCCTATCTGCACGCATCACACTTCTCAGGAGACCCGTTCAGGTGTGATGGTGGGGGCATTCCAGGTGCTGGAAAGACTCAGGCCTCTCTTGGACCCAGCGAAATCAGTGCCAGTGTCTTGTGCCACAGAGATGGTGAGGCCTGCACCGACGACCTCAGCACCCGGCGCGGGAGGAGAGCAGCCCGACGCGCCCAGCAGACTCTTGGCAGGGCTCAGATTTCCTGGACCGGAGGCTCACGAGGCCCAGGCGGGGCACAGGATGCGCGGCCCAGCGTTCTCCTCCCAGGCTTCCGCCGGCCCCGGGCCTCGCGGCGCAGCTGCGGCAGATCCGCCGGGGCTGGACACGGAGGAATCTCCCCGCCCCGGCCCCGTCCTCCTCCTGCAGGGGCCATGGGGCGGAGTCGCCCACCTGTCATCCAAGACGCCCCACGTGGGTCGACTCGGGCTGGGGGTGGGGGTTCGAGGGAGGGAGAAAAGGCCGAGGCGGCGGGGGAGGCCGGGGTGAGAAAGGGGAGGAGAGAGGCGCGGACGCGAGAAGGCGCTCCCGACAGCGGCGCGGAGAGGGAGCGGCGAGCCGAAGGCGGGGGACCAGGAGCCGGCAGGCGTCCATCGCGGAGCAGGTGAGGCTGGCCGGGCAGGTGAACCGGCGGAAGCGCGGGGCTGGAGAGACGGGGTGAGGGAGAAGATCCCGAAGTGAAGACCGGGCTGCGGATGAGGGACGCGAGGTGGAAAGAAAAGCCGAGGAGAGCGACTCTAGCGTGCGGACCCGCCCAGGTCCCAGCTAAAGGGGCGCAGGAGCAACCGAGGCCACTGCGCCTTTAAGGTTGCCCAGACGACGGCTCTGGCCAGAGCGAGGCGCATTGACGTCAGCAGCCGAGCGCGGATTGGCTGCTGCCGGGTCGTTTCCGGTGGAGCCGCCGCGGAGCCGCTATCGCGGAGTGGACCCGGGCTGGGTGGGAACCGCTGAGGGAGCTCCGCAGGTCGCCGCCTCGCACCGCCAGTCCCGTGCCCGCCG